GAAATTTATGGCGTGAAGCTCAACTTTGAGGCCTGGCCACGCCCCTTTAACAAAACGAAACCGAAAGCTTTTGATAACTTTTACTCTTCAATGTCTTAAAGGCCTAATAACCAAGTTTTAAGTCGATCCTTCAAAATCCCTAGGAGGAGTTCGTTAAAATTCACCGTTAAAAACGCCCAAAAATTAACCTTTGACCCAAAATGGCCGACTTCCTGTTGGTTTTGGATCAGAGCTCCAAGAGACTTTTTCATAGGTCCTGAGAAGATACACATGTTCACCAAGTTTCAGATTTATCGGTCGAAAAATGGCTCGGGGCTGAGGTTTTAAAATATTCTAGGGGGCGCTAGAGAGGCTATTGCGCAATCATCATGGTTTCCTGTTCAAGGGGCGGGCAATTATCGATCATAGTGAATTTCATGAACCTCGGATCAAATCTGTGGAATTCAGAGCCAAACGTATTGTAACGGCGTCACTTCTGACTTCGCCACGCCGCCACGCCCACATCCTCCAGGGGAAACGCTTTGCGCTTCAAAGCAAGTCAGACCAACTTGTTATCTGCCTTCTAACACAGGATCATCCTGATTGGGTCAAGAGTGTCAGGGAGGGAGCATTCCAAGCAAAAAAAGTCACTTCCTGTTCTGAGGGGGCGGGGCTTTGATGACGTCAAAATTTGACCTCAGGGTATCGTCGGTCATGGGACAGGGATGAGTCATGCCAAATTTGGTGCAAATCTGTTTTTCAAGTAGAAAGTTATAACGTTTGGAAATTTATGGCGTGAAGCTCAACTTTGAGGCCTGGCCCCGCCCCCTCAACATGCGTCGGTTTGCACCGTTTTGATAACTTTTGGTCCCCCATGCCTACTGAGCAAAATGGCGAAGGTTTGAAACCGATTGAGCGAAATCCCTAGGAGGAGTTCGTTCAAATTCGCCGTGTACGAAAAGTGAAAAACGGTCAAAATTGACCCTTTGACCCAAAATGGCCGACTTCCTATTGGGTTTAAGGCATACCTCCAAGAGACTTTTTTTCTTGATTCGGTGGGTTCTACCTATGTACCAAATTTCAGCTCTCTAGGACTTACCAGTTTTCATATCTCACGTTAGGGG